GAGGAGGAGGAGGAGGAGGAGGAGGAGGAGGAGGAAACTGAAGTAACTCCGTGTGCCGTTCTTGGGGTCTGACACAGGAGAGGTGGAACAAGGTGGGGTTGACCTGCTGTTTACCTGTAATTGTGGAACCAATTAATCACCGTGTTGGTCTTGAGGTTGAGCTGGAAGGAGAGCAGCTCGATCGTCTGCTGGGAGGGGTACGGTTCCAGCTGGTAGGCCCTCTTCAGGGTCTCCTTCTCCTCCGGAGCCAAGACCACCCTTGGCTTCTTGATCTGCAGGAGGCTGAGGTCTTGCAGCTGAAGGCTGGGACTGGGACACTCGGAACGAGGGTTGGGGGACTCGCTGTCGGAGCCACCACTGATCAGCCCGTAACGACGTTTCAGATACGCTGCAGACGGGAGAAAATCAGAGGAAGCCTTGGGGGTTTTTTTTGGGGGGGGGAGGGGTTAGGGGGAGTCACATCTTCATTTTTCTAAATCCCAATCAGTCCATGGGTTTTGAGAAGTGGCCACGGATCCCCGACGACAATGGAGCCCAAATTTTCTATTGTTAAGTGAAACATTTGTTAAGTGAATTTTGCCCTGTTTTACAATCTTTCTTGCCACGGTTGTTAAGTGAATCTGCATTCCCCATGGATGTTGCTCGTCGCAAAAGGGGATCATGTGATCGTCATAAATACGTGCCCGTTGCCAAGCATCTGTATTTCGATCATGTGACCGTGGACTTAACATGCAAAAAAAACGGTCATAATTCACTTTTTTCAGTGCCGTTGTAACTTTGGTCACTAAATGAACTGTTGTAAGTCGAGAACCAGCTATAATCAGTAGCTGCTCACCGGAAAACAAGGGAGGGAAGAACAGATCACAGCCTAGTCTGCTGGCCAGCAACCGAGTGCCAGAATGAGTCCGAAATTAACCCTGGAAGGATGTGAGCTTCCATCATCACAAAAAAGTCACAAGGGCCGGTAGCCATTTTATTTAGCCTTTTTATACATTCCTTTTTTCTTTCTTTCTCTTTGCTGGTTATGGGGGGAAGGGTTTCGGGCTTGCCACATTCCTCAGTGGGGAGGAGTAGAGATAGAGTTGTTTAGGCTAGGAGGTTCTTCTTCCCGTGGGAACGAAAACTGACCCTGCTGAGACCTGGAGGTGGAGACTGATGACACCAGGCAAATATTTGCTTCTGTTGGGGAATGTGACTTTTAGAGGTTGTTTCTAACTTCCAATATTATGTGGTGTAATTCCGGGTTGAGTCAGATCCGGAATTACAACAGACTTTGCCAATTTGATGCTATTGTAAATAAAAGAAATTGTTTTGGAAGATGGACTTTGCTCTTTTTCTTTTCTTAATGGATTTCATCACTTGGAAACCTGACATTTTTCCTATGTCAGCAGCATCCTTTTTTGGGCAAGCAAGAAGGAAGTTGTTGACACAACCTTGTCCTCTTGAACCCTTCCCTTAAACAACTTAAAGGAGGGCTCTCCAACCTTGGCCACTTTAAGACTTGTGGACTTCAACTCCCAGAGTTCCTCAGCCAGCAAAGTCCAAAGTCTTAAAGTGGCCAAGGTTGGAGAGCCCTGACTTAAAGGATATCCTCTTAAAGAGATTTAGGGTGGGTCTTGTTCCGCCAACTTGGGCATAGTATCTCCAGAGGAGATCTGAAGCTCCACCCCACGGCCGGCTTCTGCACCCAACCCCTCTCCCTTCGCCACTGCAAGCCCGGCGGGTGAGGAATGAGGACTCCTCACCTTTCTTTTCCAGCTTTTTCATGTCCCGGAGTTTGTCAATGTTGTGAGGATCGTTCAGCCAGAGCTGCATGCGGACAAACGGTTCCCTTCCCTTAAGGCTCAGTTTATGCCAAGGCTTGGGCCTGGAAAGGAGGTCTGAGACGGAGCCTTGCGTCAAGCCCAGGATGCTCTCCCCGAAAAGGCGCTGACCTAAGCAGGGAGACAAATTGGAAAATGGAGGCTGCGGTTGAGGGGCCAGGATAAAAGTCACCATTTTCAGCAGGAAAGGCCCTTCGAAAAATTGGGGGTCATATTTTGTTTCTTTTAACTTTACGCACAGCTGTTGCCACGGTTTCTTTCATCCAGGGAGTACCAGAAAATGGTTTCTCCCTCTTCCAAAGGACTGGGGAGAAGCAGACGCGAGTTTGTCCCGGAGGAGTTAAAATTTTACTCGGCGGCGCTAATTCCAGCTGATAAGGAGAAGAATTCTGCAATCAACCTCCCCCCACAATGGCGAGCTCTCAATTTAAGCTTCCAGTTTATTGCCTGTTTCTCTGGAATGGTAGCACCTTCTCAGTCCCTGACCTAATTCCCATCGTAATCCGTCTGGGAACATACTACAGAAATACAAATACGATTAGCCGTATACCTGGAATGGAGAAACCCCTCAAGAGCTTTTAGTACGTCCTCGATGCTGGACCCCAGCGTGTGTTCTAATTAGACGGCCTCCTTCTGCCCAACCCTTTTTAATTTAGTTATCTCCACCCTACTGAATTGGCAGAGGAGAAGCAAAATATGCACTGCTCAGATTAAAGCAACTGGCTATGAAGTCCTCAATCCTTGAAATTTCTGGACAGGAGAATATCTGAGCAAGTTCTTGGTGGGTACAAGTTCTTCTTGGCCTCCGTCATAGACCAAGACCCCACCCAAGACTCCTGGGAAGAGGGCCACCTGTGGCTTCATACCAAGGTTGTTGTCGGTCAAGACTTCCTTGACCTTCTTGGTGATGCAGTAGGTGTCCAACTCAGGGGACATGGCCACGATCTCCTGGATGCCAACAGAGTTGTGGTTGGGGCACAACTTGCTACCCAGCAAGGAGGCGGCTTTGCTTTCCGGCTGCTGGTTTTCTTTGCTGCTTTCCAGGGCAAGACTCGGGGGCTCTGGGGGGCTTTCCTCTTGCTCAGAAGGACTGGCTGGTGGGGAAGGAGAAGACGGAGACCCTCTGGGGCTGGCTGTGAATGGGGAAAAGAAGGAAGGGAGGAGATGAAATGCAAACGATTATTTTCCAAGAAGTTGCAAACAGCAACAAGGAGAATTGGTTCCAGGACTGGAGAAGACCCCCAAGGCCTTGTGAGGGCGTCTTCATAGCACCATAACTGATTTAAATAGCTAAAAGGCACTGCAGAAGAACAATAAATAAGGGTGGCCAAAGGTTATGGGTGTCAGGATTCCAGCAATCGCTCTAATTAAATCATGATTCTCGAGCCAAACTTCAAAAAAACTTGAAAAGATTTATTAGAGGCGACATACTGGCACTGCCCTATATAAAGCCAACTCTGACTTATGTAATTTACAGTCCCCTGTGACCCTGTTCCCCCCTCCCTCCCCCCGGGTGTCTCATAAACCAGATTCTCCAATTGAGCACCTTCACGGCCTGGGTGTCCTCATTCACGTTCTCCAAATAAATATATTCCCAGGCAAAAGCTCTGGTAGTTTAGTTACAGTCTTTTAAAGAGAAGAGTTGGAATGTACTTTTGATTTCAACTGCTCTTTCGGATTTCCTCCCTCCCCCCCCCCACTTTTTTTCTTATGGCAACTACTAAAACAGGCATAGGACAGTTTGACGAGTTGGCAATGGGGTTGCTTTGGCTGCCCAGGATAAACAGGAAGTGAGGGCCAAGGATGGAGGTGCCCACCTTGAGGAAGGCCGGCCTGCTGGCTGATGTTTTGGCCCAGCTGGTCAGAGAGCCAAAGCTGCATCCGGATAAATGGTTCCCGTCCCTTCTGGGTGAGCTTGCTCCACGGTTTGGGCCTGGACAACATGTCACTCACGCTGCCTTGCGACAACCCCAGCACCTGAAGGAGAGGGGAGGATGTTGACATCTCGATTCGGCTTGATAAAGCCGAGAGGCCAGGCAGGAAGAATGCAAACAACCATCTAACGCTCAAGGGGGGAAACGCAAGAGAATGGGAGGCGTGTATGAAGGAAGGCCTGAGCTCCAACCCGCTGTCGAAACAAGGGAGGGATCTCAACAGCTTCCCGAAGGCCAGAAGATAAGGGCCCATCTGAGCCACGTGCAGAGCTCAGCATTCAAAGTCTGCAGAAAAAAAAAAATACCCCTCAAGGAAAAAGATAAATTCAGCCAAGGCAATCAATGGATTCTAATCAAGCTTGCTGGGAATCTGGGTTGGTCTAGGAAAAATAATGTAGGAATCAGAGCCTTCGTGTCGCCAGCAAGAGCATTTTCACTTTATTTCCAATTTCTCCGTAGCTTGCCTTCGCTCGTATCTCTTTCACACATTTGGTCTGTCTTGCACTCCCTCAACACTACACACGCTCCCTCGGTCTCTCTACGTTGGGGTGCTCCTGGATAGCCCCGTTCCTTGGGGTAATCGTGCGGCTCCTGCCTTTGAGGTTGGAAATGGGATCTAACTGGATCTCACAACTTGGAAGGGGATTTCCAAGGGGGCCAGAGGGACGGAAGGGAAGGCAGATCTGTGTCAAAGGCCGTTAATTACCACCATGGCTGGCGAGAGAGCTCGCTTCCAAAAAGGTCAGCTGCAGGAGAACATCGGTATGTCTCCATCTTCTACTGCAGTTTGGCCGCTCTGGACAGACCAAGAGGAGGTCTGGTTTGCTCCAGCACAAGCAGTATTTTAAAAAAACAACAGAACAAAAACAAGGAACGCCCTACCAATCATTTTGCTTCCCTTGGCAGTTTTTCCCTTGCTAAGAAAGGGGGTCAGGTGAAAGGTGAGATCTTATCTAGCCCATCTCTGCATGATAACAACCTTGTCTGGGATCACCCTGCTGACCTCCCTTCTCAAGCCAGGCAACCCGGCTTCCTCGCGACTGACGATTGAGCTACCTTCTCCCCAAAGATGCGTTGGCAGATCCCGTTCTTCGCCAACTTCTCCTTGACTTGCCGTGTGAGTTCCAAGGTGTCCACCTCCTTGTACATGTACATCTCGTACTGCTCTGGGGTCAACGGGGGGACGGTGGGCTTGAGAGTCCTCGGCACATAGGATGGGTAGTAAGACAAGCGCCCGTTTCCTTGGGCGTCGGAACCCACCGCTTCTGACTTGACTTCTAGCCCCCGATGAGGTTCGTCTTCCAAGGTGGGCAAGTCTTCCTCGTTCGGGCCAGAGTCCCCAAGTTCCCCACGTGGCCACGCTCGTCCGTTGGCCATGCTGGAGTAGCTGGACGAGGAAGAGAGGGAGGGGGACACCGAGGTGAAAGGCCGGTTGAGGAGGTTCCTGTCGGACGCCCAGTGCTGGTCAAAATAGGAGCCGGCGTCGCCAATCTCCGACTTGACCTTGCGGATGATGCTCTGCACGAAGGCGGCAGGGGAAAGCACCGTCAGAGGGGCCTGGGTCACACCGCTGCCACTGCCGCTGCTGCCCAGCCCACTCCCTTCTTCCTGCTTGATGTAGGCGCGGACGATGTTCTGGCTGAAGGCGGACAGAGGGGAGGGTTCTGCAGGGGGCGTGGAGATGGGTTGGCTGGGGCTGCCGGATTCTATCTCAAGCAAGGCCTGTTGCTGAGCTTGCATCTCACGGCGGGCCTGTTCCAGGATGTTCTTGATGGCGTCTTCGGAGCTGCTGGTGCTGATGCCGTTGGGGGCCGCCTGGGGCGCGGAGGTGCTCTTCGCCTCCCCTATGGAGCAGGGCAAAAGAGAGAGGAACGTGGGATGGAGTCCCACCAAGCCATCGTGAACCCAAACCAGGAGGAGCTGCTCTGTGTCTGCTGCACAGGGAGCAACGTGGAGACTTAGGACGGGCCATGGGACGCTTGGGGTCAAATAGGACCCTCCCCCCACCCACCCCCCGCAGACCATTCTGCTCCTGGGTCTCTTCCAACCCAACTTCAGATCCCGTGGACAATCTTTTCAGACTTCAAAAGATCAGGCAGAATCCCCGCTTTCTGAAGCAGCCCAGACTCCCGGCTTCAATCGTCTCAAGATGCAATTGACCTTTTCACATCATTTCGGTCAATGGAAATCATTGGCGAATGGATGCTGATGACGTAGGGACGTCAATTACGCAAGTGGAGTTAAAAGCTGTCAATTACGTCAATTTGCATTTAAGAGAATTTTGACTGGGAGGGGAATCCTTCCCTTGAGCGCGTGTGCGCACACACAGACACACAGACATACATGCGCACACGCGCACACACACACACACACACACACGGAGAGAAACTTTTATTTGAGGTTTTATGGCCCTCCTCTGCCTGGACACAGAATTATTTCCTTGGCTTAAGGACAAGCCAGGACAGGTGGTGGAATTCGTACCTAAAGGGAACCGGCAGAGGGCAGCAGATGACACTTTAATTTCAAGGGAACGGAGGGAGTTATTGCCGTGTTTAGAGTATTTAAAGGTTGCCCCTGACTTCACTGAGATGGAGAGAAGAAATGAGAATTTATTGAAGGAAGGATTTAAAAATGCATCCGATTAGGGCCACCACTACCCAAGGGCCAAAGTGAAGAAGAACTTAAAGCAACCACGTCTCACCTTCGTATCTGGGCGACGGCCTCTTAATTTTCAGTTTCAGAGGGCCAAAATGTACCCCAAAGGCCTCTACCCTCCCCACGGGCCTCTTACCTCCTTTCTGGGACTCAATCTCTTTCTTGGCCTGCTCCAAGATACTCTTGATGGCATCATCTGAGCCGGTTTCTGGAGTCCTAATCCTCGGCGTAATGCTTCCTGATCAAATAGACGGAAGAGTGGAGACCGTCATTGGATCTGGAGTAGCTGTACTCGCCTAAAGTCAAGGAATTACCTACAGACACTTTTCTTCAGAAGGTCCTGTCTGAAGAAGCATCTCTTGTGGTTAGGGAGGGAATCTGGGTCTTGGGTTGAGGAATGGGAGACAGCAGGAAAGAAAAAAACCGAATAATCCCGGAACAATTCTTATCTTTCACTAAGAACCTGCCACAAAGACTGACACCCAGATCATATTTGGGGCAGAACCTCGGTCCATCTCCTTCTGCAGAACCTCTGGTGGTTCTCCAGGGCTTCAGATAGGATGCAGTTGCAACAGTGGTCCACATGCCATGGGTGAAACATGGAGGCCGCCTAGGAAATAATCTCCTTAAAGCTTCAAACTCTCCCATAAATGATAAATACTATAACAGAATCCTTGCAAACGTAGACCTCTCTCCTTGGAGAAAGCAACGTTTGGTTGCTACCATGATGAGACCCTGACAGACAGACCGAGAATCTGACAGACAGATTGGTGGGTCTAAGATACAAAAGGTGACCTCCCTGAGACCAAAGAGATTCCCAGTCCCCTCTGAAATGCCAGGGCTGGCCAAGGTGGGCCAAGGTGGACCTGTTGAGTTGCAACCTTCCCCCAGAAATGGAAGTCATTCTGGTTCTGAATTGTGTGGTGGGACTGGTCTGGAGGTCTTGAAAACTGGAGCCGTGAACGATGTCCTGTTGGCAACTCCAAGGGGTTGACTCAAACTCCCAATCAAGCTTCTCAAAGGACACGTTTGGTTGGGCCAACCTCCTGGATTTGCTGTGTGCATTTCGTGGGGCTCCAAAATGGAGCTGTATCCTACCTCAAGTCGATTAGTGGGTAGCAGTATTGTCTTAATTAAAACTCAAGGAGCATCCGCAAGGCGGAGAGGAAAGACCAAGACCGCGGGTGACTTACCTCAACTGGTTGGTCTTTGCTTAAGAAATCACAGAGAAGTTGAGAAGGCAGGGAGAAGTTTGAGTTCAAAGCAGGAGGAGGAGGAGGAGGAGGAGGAGGAGGAGGAGGAGTTGTCGCACTGATGTGACATCCAGCACCCCACACCCCACCCAGGTTCCCTGCCGTGAACCACTCACCTCTCTGGCGCACCTGAATCGTTCTCAGCGCTAGGACGTTCTGCTCGTCCGAGAGGAACTGCTTCATCTTGATGAAGGGCTCTTTCCCCTTGACGGTCAGCTTGCGCCAAGGCTTGGGCCGGGCCAGGATCTCGCTGACCGAGCCCTGCGAGAGGCCCAGGACGTAATGTCCGAAGACGCGTTGGCCGATGTTGTGCTTCAGCAGCTGCTCTTTCACCTGGAAAGCAATCTCGGCCGTGTCCAGGTGCTCCTCGTCGGCTGAGCTGGGGGTGCTGCCTTCCGACTGGTCACTCGGGGGGCTCCCGTCGTTGGGGTTCGCAGGCAGCACCAGCCCTTTGGCAGCATAGAAGGCGGAAGGGAAGCTGCCCGTGTTGCCGTTCTCGCTCTTGTAACCCGGGGGCCCCATCTGTGTGGAGGGAGAGGAAAGTCACGCTGGGGGGGGGGTTCGCCAGCACCCCTGGCCCCGAAGACCCAGCTGCAAAGGGCCCCAGTACCTCTGGAGCCACCGTGGGGGCCAGCAGGGGCTGGAGGAGCGGAGGGGAGGTGGAGTCTTCCCTGGGCGGGGGCAGGAGCTGCTGGGGGGATGAGTAAGGTTGCTCGGGGCCCATGGAGTCCTTCACCGACTCGTCTTCCGAGGGATCCTCCTCTAGAGACCAAAGAGAGAGGAACACACACACGCACCAACTATAGCTTCCCTGGACCATGCCCGCTGGGGAGGATGGGATCTGGAGCTCCAGGGGACAGCTGGGAACATCGGACAGCCTGGGAAAGCCAGGGGAAGGAAGCGGACCCCTCTCAGATGCTCACCCACGATTTTTCCAAGGAAGAAACCATTGTTTGTTTATGGAAGGCACTTTAGCCAATTGGAATGATTTATGGAAGAGGAAGAAGTGGATAGAGTGGTGGATAATCCCCCGGGGAGTGTTGGGAGTTGAAGTCCAACACATAACTTGGAAGGTGTCCTAGGATTTAGATTTAGCGTTTCTCTATGTTGACAACCTGAAAATCTGTGGACTTCAACATGGCCGGCTGGGGAATTCTGGGAGTTGAATTCCACCGATCTTCAGGTTGCCAAGGTGGAGAAACACCGCTCTAAAGTTACCGAGAAGGTCCCTGCCCCTGCCTTAAACCCTCCCTCCTGCCGCTTCCACCATTCTAATAGATGAGCCGCCTGTGCCAAGGACTGCGGGTGCGAATCCCTGCCTGGCTGGTTGGGGAATCCTGGGCGTTGGAGTCCCCCCGTCTGAGAGCTGCTGAGGTTGAAGAAACGCGGTTCTAATCCATCCCCTTAACCCCCAAAATAATCCCAACAAGGGTCTTGGCATTGACACACCATTATCCCCCCTCAATCTGTTCGCCACCCTACCAGGATTGGTGGTGAGGTTTGGTTTTTCCAAGAGGAACTTCCGAGATGCGTAGAAGGAATCCTTTCCCAGAAAAAGCGCGTCGGAGGGTTTTGAGATCCTCTAAATAAAAGACCAAACAAGAGGGGAAAGAGTGAGAATTCGCCTCTGCAGGGCCTTCTTTTCCTCCGTTTTTGTTTTAAGCGGTGCCCTGACTTTCTATCCCTCGCCACCCTAGGTGCCCGTCAACCAAAAATACTCTCATGCGTAGCGCAAGGACCGGCAACAAAAAGAACTCCATTAAAACGGCAACTTGTTCCAGTCAACCCTAAAAACGGGGCAATTAGTTCAGCCATCGGATCAGGCACCGCTTTCCTATTTCTGCTGTGAATTTCCTGTTCTTCGCCACTTGGAGGTCCATCTGGTGGAGTAGCAGGGGGTAAATGCAAGAAATAAACCAAGGCTCAAAAACTACCAATCCAGGAACGCGAAGCCTGGTGGATTCAAAGAGTTTAAATTTAAAAAAAAATGATCCAGGAAGGAGAGAGATCTTTCTCACCCAAACATCAGGGATTAATTATTCTGTATCCACTGAAAATACTTCTGAAGTGGGCAGAGTGCAGGCAAAATTCTTCCCAATTCTTAATGACAGGGTCCACCTGAGAAGAAGGCCCTAGAAGTCCTCGTGGTCTTCCTTCCTTCCTTCCTTCCTCCTTTCCTTCCTTCCTTCCTTCCTTCCTTCCTTCCTTCCTTCCTTCCTTC